TGGCCTAGGTTTTGATTGAAAAGACCCACGATTCAGTTAACACCTAAATCACCTTTCATGGTGAACCGGTTACCGAGTAGTGGGACATTTTCCTGTTATTGTGCCTAAAATGGACAGCAGACGACGGTCAACGAAACTGGTGCGCTCACTGAAGTCTATCTTTTCATTTCCCCATTTCCCCTCTCTCGCGTCAAGACATGCTTGGTACTAATTTCACGTTTCCTCTTTCGGTCTGAGTGTGCGGCTCAGAAATTGATTTACCCTCCCCCCCCTTTCCTGTAGTCCCCGGCCCCATACCCATAAGAAACTTACTAAATGCACTGAGTCGGTTTCCTTTTCTCATACTTCATCTGCATCTTCTAGTTTCGTATATGAAAATTATTTTGAAACTTCAAAGGATATGATCAATGAAGTTTTCTAAGTTTATCCATACTTCATTTGAGTTGTAAGAGATTTGAAAAGTTGCTCTGTCTTCCGAAATTGTTTGCAGAACTTTAGCTGCATGAACTTAATAATCACCTCTGTGTCTATAAGTAGACACTCGGGACAGGTATTCTTCCCCATGTCATTGTTTCTATTCTGGTTTGTGGAGGGGAACGAAGGTTCACCATTGGAGAGCGTGAATTATGGCGTTTTCTCACCATACTTATCGAAAATTGGAGTCTATTCCAAAGTCCCACATATCCACAAAGTCCCACGTGTCCCCTCGTGGCTGTAAGACCAGAATGGAACATTTTCGCGTAAACACGGAAGAACTTCTGATTAGATAATGCGAGGGTTCTTGCCATAGGAGAGGCTGCGTTACATCAGGATCTTTTTATCTCATGGCATACGCTCATGAGACATAGCCAAGCGATTACGGAAAATGCCATTGAGGCATTCCAACTCAAGTGGTCACATTTTCGTCACTTTCGTTGGGCTTCAGACTCCGATTCGCTTGAAAAAATTTGGACATGTTGACATTGAAGACTTATGAAAACGTTTCAAATTTTAGCTGTCTGGCTCTAACGGTTTTCGAGATATCCAGCCCTAAGCTTAGCCAAGAGGAAAATTGACCTTTAAGGTAAAAACGCTATCTTTGGTTCCAGTCGAGCTAGAAAAGCGTATTTGGACTCTAAAGCTGAGACAATGCTGGATCGCATTAAGAAATCCATTTTCTACTACATTCATCGCCAAGCGAGTCACATAATTTCGAATATTGCAAATATTGCCGAATTTTGCACGCAACTTTTGAGGACTAGGATGCATGGCAACATAACGAGCTCTTGCAGCATTGTAGACTATAGCAATGCGAATTCAAGAACAAAATTTCAACCTCCTACGTTGTTTGAAACAACTTAAAATTAAATTTGAAAAGTCCAATTTTGCCTATTTTTTTTTACTCACTTTGACGGTTTGTACTCCCTGTTTCAAACGCGATATAAATTTGAAAATAATGTGCAATAAAAGCTCTCTCTAAGTTATTTCCAATGATGCTGTTGAATTCAATTTTCTCGTCTGTGTGATTTTTGAACGATTTGAACGATTGATCTTGTAAGTTTTCCTCTTGAAATGTTTTACCCAAAGTACCAACTTTGGGAATCCTGGTGAAACAACCAGGTCTGGGTATATATTACCAGTGACCTGTAAATAGCAGTGATCATATTTCATACCTGTTCCAAGCTGTAAAAAATATGATTTCAAGTTTTATGGATTTGCTGGAGCTACAATTGTGCTGAACTTAACGCTTCATTTGCATTTCAGATTAAGCAGACTTCAGAATGGAATTGTGTTCCTTCCAAGTGTCCGGTGATTGCCACAAAGCCAGCTACATGTCATTCCTTTAGTGAAAATGAACAGAAATGAATTGGCCTCTGCAGAGCCAATAGAGCCGCTCAGAAAGAAGACGAACCCAGAGACCCCGAGTTCTGAAGTTTAGAGGCCTATGCGGGCTGCGGACCGGTCCGTTCGGCCCGATAAGACCCGCGAGTAAAATCCATAAAACCTCGGTTCGGCGATCCAGTTTTGGGTCGAGTAGTCTAGCAGCACCACGACTCGGGTTGGATTCGAAAGCGTCGACCCGTGCAGGCCTCCGGCGGACAGACGGAGGACATCGGCTATTATTATATAGATTATTATATAGATGTATTTTGATCATTTGAGCTCTCCCCACGTTGCGTAGGATAATTTGGATTCCTTATGAAGTTGTATGATCCTATTTAATTTTTTTTCAAGCGCATGGCATTTTATGTTTCCTGCCTGCATTTTAATGCCACCAAAATTAGCAACAATGCTGGGAAACATTTTTACGCATCCACTTTTTCATAAGGACTGCCTTCAAAGAGGGAAGCCAGGTTGGCGTGGAGCGGCGATGCGCCGAAAGGACTCAAGAGGGAGAATCGAAAGCGAAGCAGTGATAAAAAAGGCGTCACAGGTACAAGAACTAAATCAATAACAATAGGCGCCAGTTGAAGTCGCGTTGGTCCTCTGCTCCCCCTTCCATTCACACGGACGCATACTATCACGAGCACGCACAAGAGTGTGCGAGGCGGGAGGGAGGTCAAAGAGGGAAGAGTTGCGCGCGAGAATTCCAGTTTTCATGCAAATCGGCAATTAAAGCCTCGCATTCTCTATCCCTTCAGAGACAGTAAGCAATCTTGGTGTCATGGGATCCAGTGAAACATCCCTCTATGGGATAGGGACAAAAAAATCCTGTAATTTTATATGTGAGAGGAAAAAGTCGACCCGGAATAGAAGAAATGACCTAAATAATGAAGAAAGGCCGCAGGAAAAATCGATAGGCCCCTAGGGTAATGAACGAATTCTCTTGAAAATTGGCACGAAACTGATTAAGAGACTTTTAAAGAGATGTAAATGAGGAATTTTAAAAATTCAGCCTCGTTTTCGAGTATTGTCCGTCAATGTCACGTCCCTTCCGAAAAAGTGGATTTTTCAGGCGGATAATCGAACACTGAGGGGGAACGGTAGGAGGAAACCAAACCAAGCGCTACTCCGCGAAAAGATGGACCATATTATCCTCCAAAAACTGGTCCATGTCGGCAATGATCAGTAAATAATTTTGAGGCTATTAATGGAGAGAGGAGAGTTAAATGGATGCTGTGAAGGGCTATGTTAATTGCAGAGTAATGTCTGGCTGTTACTGCTGGGTCATTTCACGTCAAATCGAACAGCGAGTGGGCTCGACCATCTCGGATTTTAATGAAAATCTGCATACATGTAGAGGAATCGATTTATAGAGAATTCAATTTTAGCCAACTTTTTTTATCCCTCCCACAAATCTCCAGATACAAGCATTCTTATGAGACATAATTTTCGTTCCCAGCGCCAGTACGGACTAGAATTATTAAATGTTTCTGCAATAACTTCACCTCTAGTTAAGATAAACGTTCACGTTCACGACGTGGATGAAGCTGCTCAAATGCAGCGGCGCATGAAAGTCCGGAACAGGACTTGCATGAGGAATTGGCCACGTTATTGTCTCGAGAATGAGACTAGTGCTAAGGCTACGGTTAGCCTAACCTAGGGAGAGAGTAATTAATCATGATTGGTTTTCGCTTCAGCCAAACCTGTATTTCTCTTATTTCTTGATTATTGTATCGGGTTGACGCCTGATTAAAAGACCATTCAAGTTGACTAGGAAGAGCATGTCACCACTAAAAATACAAGCTGATGAAGTAAAAAAAATATGAAAGCATGAACCTTTCCCGAACAGATGGGGTAGAAAGAAACATGGTAGAAAGAGCAAGAAGTCAAGTCAATTTTATTGGTTAATATCAGCAAATCGGAAATGCAGCTTGGTATGCAACTTGAGAACTTATGAAAAAATTTGTGACTCAATTAAACTAGAACTTATGCATCTCGTTTTCACACAGAGAAAGGAAGCACTACTTTCCAAAGCAAATTTGCGTCATGGCAGATTTTCCAGTCCTGCTAAGCGCCCCCAGGACAGTTCTCGTGAAACCATACGAATCAGACCTTGAATGTTTTCCCATTCTCATGTGTGGCTGTCGGAATGCTTAGAAACTTCATTGCTGTCTGATACACCAATGAAGACTGAAAGTTTCGATTCCATCATGCCCTCAAGGAGGTACTCATGCAGCTTCAAGTAAAAAAATATGATCCGCACTCAATCAAGTACCAACGTCAGGGTCTAGTACAGGGGTGCCCAAAGTGCGGCCCGCGAACCGCATGAGACCCTCCAAGGGCTTTTGTGCGGCCCGCGAGAAGTTTTGGAAACAGACATTAAATTTTTAATGATAATGTAAGTGAATGAATGATTTTATGTGCTGCGGGATGAACAAAGCATGGCCTGACTTGGTTTTAATTCTCTCCCGGGTAAGTACAGTGTATCCTCAGCCAAAATTCTCGGATGTGGAATCATCCTGACACTCTTACCGAGGGTAACCATGAGGCGCTTGACTGGATTTGACATCCAGGCGCCACCTGTGAGGGCGAGAGAATCCGCAGGACTGCCAGGTTCTGCTGAAAATGTGCAACATTCCAAAGACCTTCTTTGCATTTTTTCACGCACAAATTTCTCTGATAAATTCATGCTGTCAGATTCCTCCCAATGGCCGCCACGACATCGCAAATATACCGCAGTAGGAGATTCACATCAAGATAATGTATAACATTTCGTGCCACCATCTGACATCCCTATTTCCACAATCCCATCTGGAAGGGGTGAAGAAAGAGTAGGAGCCAAACCCTGGACTTTATTATACCAACCTATTGATATTTGCGAGTTACAGTTTGGATTCTATTTTTCCGTACGAAGTCAGCGGAGCGCAGAAAACCTCGTAACAATGAATAAAATCGCATATTACAAGACGAGTGGACTCACGAATACTTTGGGTGACACGCACCAATGGAGGAATCGGAATAATCTAAAGACAGGATGAATAAGTTTACTAAACATGTTTTAGAAAGTGTTTCTTTGACATGCCCCATCGAAAATCATTTTAGTTTCGTGAACACGTTTATCCTCGACTTAAACACATTTAAAGGCGGTTTGGGAGCCCTTGCAAGGACAATGAGTAGCGTGCAAGCTGATGCTCCATTTTCCGTACCAAGTCGGCGACGGAAAGAGGAAACCTTTGGAATTCCACTCCATTGAACCATTCAAGAGGATTGAGTTGACTTCTGATGGTTTGGCAGTTCTGGCAGTCCAGGCGAACCTGGCAGAATCACGTCAAAAATGCCTATCTCTTCATTAGTTTCCATTTCCACCGTCGCTGGATGATGAGAGGCGAGAAAAATGCGGCCCACTCCGGCAAAACAACATGCTGAAATAGGTCAAAACTAGGAAAACATATTTTTTGTATAATGTTTAGCATGCAGAAAAACAAGTTTCCAATTATGCGGCCCGCGAGCCCGCACCCTACAAGCTATGCGGCCCCCATCACCCAAAACCTTGGGCACCCCTGGTCTAGTATGTCAAATATATACGGACCTCTCCTTACAAGTATGTAAGTAATGTGGTTGATTAAAAGGATAATTGACAGAGACCAAGTAACTTTATTGTTAGAATAAGCAAGGCATCCCTTACGAAAATGTCCTATAGGAAACCTATAGATTTTCCTATAGGTTTTTAAAACACGAAAAACCTATAGGATCCCTATAGTGTCTTATAGGTCTCCTGACCTATAGGAATCGGGGAGGATATTCAGGGTTTCGAAACCCAGGCATTACGACGGTAAAGGCGACCGGGGTTAATATTGCCGCACCATTTTGGTGTACCTCGTGAATCAAAAACCGATTAGGGGTTTTCCCATGGTAGGGAGACATGCATTATTAATACCAGTACTGCCACCCGCAGTACTGGTATACTGCATGCCGTATGGTCCCCTCCCCACATATGTCGCTGGATTACGCGTCTATTTCCTTCGGTAGAGAGAAGTAGTATTCTTTTCTCGACCTAAGGATACAGAAGACAGAAACTGCAAGCACGTCTCTTTACTGAAACTCCATTTGTTTCGTACGTGGTTTTCAAAAGGAATAAGGGCACATTTCTTCACAGGACTCAATGATTCTCTCTGGAAGATGGGGATGACAAATAAGGAACTGTCGAAGTTTATTGATTGCTACAATGAAGCAAGGCGAGACATTTGGGGACGTACAAAACTCTCTTGTGAGAGATGATTCCTTGGGTAAGGGGAGGGCACTTTTGTGCCCTCCCCTTTGAGAAATGTGAAAAGCCAATACTTCCTTCTAGTGGCCTAGAGGAGAACTTCGAACGGAACCCTATAGGTGCTACAGAGATTCCCGTAGGTCCTATAGGGAACCTATAGGCCTTATGGGGAACCCTATTGGTTCTATAGGGAACCCTATCGGTTCTATAGGGGGCTTTATAGGTTCTATGGGGAACTCTATAGGTCCCAAACTGAAGTCTATGGGGCATATAGGAACCTATAGGATTCCTTTATGTTCCTATAGGGTTCTTATAGGATTTCTATATATTCCTAAAGGAATATATAGGAATCCTATAAGACATTTTCGTAAGGGATGTTATGCCAAAGAATTTGTCATGAATATAAAGAAGGGAACATCTTGCCTTTTGAAATGGCGGTGGCTATAACACATCTGAAAACACGAAAAGTTCTCATGAAAGAGGAAGAGCAATATTAAAAGCGTAGTATTGACAATAAATAATAATAATTTGTTGTTTGTTGGGAAATGTGAACAGTTGACCGTATTCCCCCTTCTTCCAACCCCTTTCCTCCTTCCATTACGCATAATTCCTCTGAATTTTTCATGCAAGGGAGACAGGAGATAGTGGATTTAGAAGATCCCAGGGCAAAATATTAGCTCATTTCTGTCGCTTTCCATACTCTAATGAGGGGCAGTTCACCATCACTTTTCCATCCATCCTCGGTAAACTTCTCCGTCTCTTGGACATAGATGGAATCTCTCTGCTCTGGCCTTTTATATCTCCCGCCAATAGCCAAGAGTTTTCCTGCGCTATCTTCCACCATGCCATGATTAAACCTCGCAATCTTGAAGGAGGGGAGTGTTTCCCAGGGTCCTACTTCGTTCACCTTCATCCTGTGTACCTGCCCGAGCGATTGCTGCCCATCCCATCCTCCCGAAATATATATGTATTGGTGGGACACGGTGACTGCATGATCTGAGAGAGAATATGGGAGGTCGGGAAATTTTAATGGCTTCAACATTCTTATGTCTAAGCATTCGCAGCTGGAGAGGTAGTTCCTCGTTTGAGGGTCTTGACCTCCCAAGACTAGGATGGTGTGAGGGTCCTTCATCACTAAAGCCGCCCTTGTTCTCTTTTCTTTCATATTCGGGAGCTCGCACCATTTCTCTGTTTCGAGGTTGAGTTGGAGAACTTCCTCAGAATTGCTCTTCCCTCCCACGAGGAACAGAGAGTCGTCTATGGCTGCTCCCGCTGTGCCATCTATGAGGAATCCATTTCGGACGGGGAGTGTCTCATCCCAGCCAAAAGGAGCCGTAACATGTTCCTCCTCATGTAGATGAAGGATGTGAATATTTTTCCATGTGCCATGGATGAGTTTTTCAGTGTGGGCTAGAAACACATCATTTATGCGATGTTGGTCCCTGACCCAGAGAGTAGTAGAAGGGTGGATTTCCCAATATCCGGGAAGCAGGTTTTTATTTCTTCCCATTGCAAATATTCTCTGATTACCTGTAAGAAGACATCATATTACATAGGTATCTGGCATCGAGGACAAAAATAATGAGACCGACCAATATATTTTCTTTTCAGCAGAATGTCTTACACCTAATGTACAGTGACCCAAACAAATGCCGCAATGTTTAGAACTATTCGACGCTTTTGACTTTAACATCGGCAAAAGCGAACAATCACATCAATCACACAATCAGGACATCTGTCTCTCAGCAGCGGTATTGCAACATTGCTGTAACTTTATGTTGCTTGGTTTGACGATACAAATTCGGATAAACTTATAAGAATAATTTGGAAACGTCTGTATTTATGCTAAGCGAAAGATTTTGCGAAAATCACATCACTGTTTTCAGTAAACCTTCTACTCAAGTGCAAGGGTATACAATATATTACTTTACAAGTACAATAGTTATTAATTTTTTTGCCACAACCTGTGCATTTCAGTCAGCATCTGAAATACAGGGTGTAGCCATGTGTTTTTAAGCATGTAGCTGTAAGGAAACATGAACTGCTGGAGTGCAGAGGAAAATGGATGATGATGTAATAATTACTTTTCTTATTTTCCAATATGGACTACATCGCGTGTTCATTTTGCAATGGGTCAGAATTTTTGAAAATATATGGGGTTACCTGCTCTAAGAGTATTTTCTCCTTCTTGGTGTTCCTCTATCATGGATCCCCTTGGAATCTGAATAAAATGCACACAAGACAATATGATTCATGAATGCTTGGGCACGAAATAAGTAGCTATAATGAACAGTCGAAAAGGGAAGAACGTGGACACTGAGGACAATGCCTAAGCGATTTAGACCAGTTTTGGCCCTTAAATCGATATAATTGACGTACAGAATTCGAATGGGTGTTCATTACCAAACTTACAAAAATACATGTTTCAAATGTGAGCAATATCAAAAAGGATAGGTTTGGTTGGCTTTTTTGCCTTAATCCGATTTTGACGAAACTAATATTTTTTTAATTGGGTACACTTCTGAAACGGAAAAACAACGTTTTATTCAAATAAGAAGAGGAAAAACGTAGGTTAGGTTAACTGTTTCTTGCAATTTGAAATGAGAATTTAAATGAAAACGTTTCACATCCTTCAAATTTTAGGAAATGTGAGAATTTTATTCAAGTCATCGAAACTCCACCTGGAAGTTGGGAGAGTAATGCAGAAAAGCGAGACTTAATGATTCCCAAAACGAAAGATAATTTTCTTTCAGTAATCAGTTTTTGTCAAACATTAAATGTAACATTTGACATTTCATATCGGCATGTGTTTCTTTCAATATTGTTACCATGTATTCTGAAGGAATCTTAATTCCTTGAAATGTAAAGGAACTTCATCGTTAATCCTCATTTCAACTAACCTGACCTAACCTTACTTTTCTGAAACACTTTTAATTAGAATGAATCGGTATTACTAGGTTATGCAGAGGATCTCATTAAAATGATAAATGATTCATTGAATTCGGATGATGGACCAAAATAACATTATATTGGAGGACTCCTTTACCTTCAGGAAGTGCCTTTCTTTGTTCAAAAATTCCCTCCAGTCGTACAAAGAGAGACTTTCCAGAATCTTGGGGTTCGGCAGAGTGCGGTGAACAAGTAGGCCCCTTCGTTCCATCTCCTTCCAGAGTTCTATCCGACTTTTCGCTGTTGGTGAGTTTCCTCCGTCGACGATGATGAGAGTGCGAATGGCACGAGAGATCGCTTCAACCACCCATGAATCCTCAACCCCCACGCACATCACCTGTTCGTTCTCACAGCCTCTGTAATCTCTGGGATGGTAGATCTGTAGCAGTTCTAATAATGCCGTTCTAGTCGTTGCTTTCAAGAATCCGAGTGCTTGTGTGAAAATCTTTTTAATGTCTTCATCTGAGATCAGCACCACGAAGTTCGCCTTTTAAATAGAAGTAAAGCATATGAGTCATTCCATGTGAAGTGGTCCAAAGGCAGTAGCTGCACCGGCTGTGATTTGCTGTTAAAAATCATGCGTTATGAGAGACAGACGAATCTAAAATTTCAGCTATCTAGGTCAAAGGGTCTTTCAGATATGTCCTTGAAAGTTTGAGAAGGAATGGTATGCCCTAATTATAAAAAATCACAATTTTACGGAAATCATGAAAGCATCAAATTTTCAACACTAAAAATTACCAATAAAAATGCGTGTAACTGAACAAACTTTAGAGCAGTGGTGAGCAACCCGCGGCCCGCGAGGCCCTGGTGTGCAGCCCGTGGGGCTTTGCCAACTTTATTTTTTTCCCTCTGTTATCTGCCATCCGGAGTAGAGTGCGCTCAAGGATTCCGTTACCCACTGCAGGAGAAACGGAAGTAAAGCAAGAAGTAAAACATAACTATATTTACGCCACAGCTGCAAATATTCCCTAAATATTTTCCTGGTCAGTGTATCACTGCTCTCTAAGCAACTGGCTTGCTTGGTATTTTACTCAATAAAAGGTGAGATAATTTTCACATGTAGCGGTTTGGCGAATGTTGCGACACACATGACAGAATTTCCCATATAAAATGCATTGCATGCTGTAACCTGGCGAAGCCGATGAGTGCTGCATTGCAATTGCAATAAAATTTCTTACTCGTGCAGAAGTGGCTCCGTTGCTCCTACCGAACATCTTATGGTCGGACGAAGAGCATTTTCGCCATTCGACTTGAATTGACAAACAATTCTGTCATTTGGTCTCATGGAAATCCAAAGGCTACATTTCAAGAGCCGCTACATGACGCCAAAGTCACCGTGGTGTGGTTTCAATACCTGCTTTATCCTGGAGACACATTTCATTGATGAAGCAACGCCCTATGGATACCTAACCAGCGTAAGTCATCGGGACTTGATACCATGATTTACTGACTACCGAAGTGATTCCTTACCCTCATGGATGTGGTGTGCCGCAACAAATAATTTTCATGCAAGATAGTGCCTCACCACACATTGCAAACCTCTTGAAAAAAGTTATCTGGGACACTCTCAAAGAACGTGCAATCATTCATTTTCAGCAATCCAGGCCTGCAAGATCGCCTAAACTTACCCAAGTTGATTTCTGGCTTTGGGTTACCTTATGAACCATATTTATCGCAATACTGGCCTAGCAATACTGGTCGCGCCTTCGGCGCTCCATTACCTTGAATAGTGATTAATTGATTCATTCTTTGCGAAATGACAAACACGTATTTAAAGTGCGTCACCATTGAAATACGTGAGATCTGGCAACGAAAGTCTTGATTATTATCAAAATCATTACTTCTTTTATTTCTAGTTAGTCTAACTTGAAATCTTTTCATGTGTCCCTTTTGTAAGGGTGGAGAATACATTTTGAAATACTTCCCTCCTATAATCTACGCTAATGGAACATATTTCAAAAGTAGGATTTTTCCTGTACTCAGCCATCAAACACGTACTTCTGAGGGAAGTTTAAATTTTCTGTTTCTGTTTCGTTGGATCAGAAGAAAATTCAGAAAAAATGGGACTTAAAAAATATTTTTTCTTTTGAAATGTAGACTCAGGGAACTCCATGCCACCCGGTTTAAGCCTTATACGTTTCCCTTTTTACTGGCGGTAAAAAATGTATTTCGAAAAGCGACCCACCCAAAAGCTGTACTATGAGGAGACACACAATAAAAGTATGATTTTTCATTAAATGAACATCACGTCCATTATGCGTGCGCCAGCTGCTACTTTTCTGTTTCTGCCCGATTCGCTAGGATGTGAAAAATTCTTTGAAGACGTAACGTCCCCAAGAAATACCCCCTCCCAAATTCCAATATTTTGGACATGTGACATTTTTCTTGAGCTCAGTGCTTCAGCAGTCCCGTTCTTGCCACGTTTCAGTTTTCCATGTGTCTCCGTTTGATTGAAGCAAAGAGAACTATTTGAAAATATGTTCCCCGAAAAAGTGTGGCCCCTATGGCATCTATCACTAAAGTAGAATTTTTCCTCAACTCAGCATGCAACTTGTGTCAGTCAGCTCACCATCTTTTATATATAATGAAAGTATAATTTTTTATTTACTCAGCTACATATCAGGTTCTTCTTTGCCAAGTTTAAACTTTCCAGCGCCCTCTGTTTTGCTATATCAGAAATTCGAGAAATTACGCCCTTTGGAATGTATGTGCCTTGAGCCGTTTTAACCCAAAAGTACCTTTATTTCTTACGAAATCAATTCTCAGAGAACTACATGCCCACAAAGTTTCAACCTCATACGTTTGCCCTTTTCGCTGGTGGAAAAACATGTTTGGAAAAGCCGACGCACCCAAAGTTACGCCGGAGTGGATGCACCATGAAAGCTGAATACTCCCTCAACTCAATAATACCATCTCACTTATACCTGTGCCAAGTTTCACCTTTCCATTTCCATATTCCCACATTTTTCTGTAACTCCTTGTCTTAGTAGTCACATCCATACAAAGTTTCAGCTTCCCGTGTTCATGAGTTTAACTGATGCAAAAAATATTAGAAAACATCTCTCTTTGAAATGTGTGCCAACAGGGCATGAACTTCCAAAGTCTGAATTTTTCTGCACGCAGTATCCCAAAATGGATGCCCCCAGAGGATGTACCGCCAAACTCGGATTTTTATGCACTCCGCATGGTAATAGCTTTTAGTGCACGAAGTTCAAAATTTCTATCTTCTCTAAAATGTGGCTAGAAATATCGTCAGTCGCTCAACTAGTCACAATCGACTACAGGGGTAACTGTGGATATTTGCGGCAGCGATGCATTCTCGGCACTTTCAACAGGAGTCAGGGCAGCAGGCAAGTAATGTGAGTAAGGATGATAAAACTCAATCAATATCAGGTAAAAACGCATGGGTCAACATGGAAATTCTTTTGTGAGAGACGATGCATGAATGGAACCGCAAACTGTTGCGTGAAGACCCGCGTGCCTGTAGAGTAAGTCATGTGCCTCTGTAAGCTAAGACCCATGTATAATAAATAGCCATTGATTTTCTGTTTCTTACGCTTACGAAAAGGTGTTAATGCTTGAATAGTTATAGGATATCCAACTAAGATGAAAAACTGCAAAAATGGCTATTACCTGTCATTCAGAGCACCAAATCAGGGGTGCCGCGATCTCCTACAGTTTTCTCGACCGAATGCATCTGCGGCCGTTCCTTGCCTCTTATGCCGCAATTGATGCATCTTCATATGATATCGCGCCACATTATATGAATGAACGTCCAACTGATGAATCAAAAAGTTCGAAAAGAGGCTCAGTTCTCTAGTTAAAATACGCGTAAACATACAATTCTGCTGAATGCTTAAGAATTTGGAAGGACTTCATGTTTGGATTTTCGATGTCTTAGTTTTGGAGTTCAGAATGTTTCACGGAGCTGGATTTTCCCCAATTGAGTTTAAGACTTAAACAACATAAACTTAAGAAATATTTATTGAAATTATTTGAATCATTTAAAGTTTATTCCCTCGAAGGTTGCAACAGCATGGAAAGAAAAAAATGGACCGTAGAATTATGTTAAGGAATATGAAAAAAAAATGCTGAGGAAGATCTAAGGGAAGCTTCAAGCAGGATTGCACATGGAGAAAGCAAAGCTCGCAGAGAAGTGAAGAAGAAGAGTGCAACATTTTTCGTTTTACATTTTCATAAATAATTGTACCCAATAAAGAAGCTGTTGTATTTTTTTCCGTTTTCCTGACGCCGTTTTGTATTCTTTGAATAAAGAGGTTTTTGTTTTTGATTCAGGTGCCACAATTATGATACTCCAATAGTCGCGATCCCCTTGTTGGACCTCCAGGTATTCATATGGGGCTGACGCAATCTGATTTCACCCTGCCGCAGACCCAGACACATCATGGCGCAATTGCCAACCGTTGAAAAGTATTGGTTCTCTTCGTTTAGGAATAACTTAGCCACCCATCCATGTGCTGCAAATCGGTGAAATAACACGATCGGCTTTCCGGAATCCTTTCCCATCAACTCAGTGAAAACCGGACTCCAGTATGGCCCTCCGCTCCTAAGCAGTGATTTTTTAAAGTCCTTGAAGTAGGCTTGCATATGCCGCTAATACCCACAGTTACCTTATATCTTAAAAGTTGTCATTTCTCAACCATAGGTACCATGTAGTGTGACTATATTGCCATCACAAACCACCAAAGGCCTGAGTAAGCTTCCTTCCCCATGTTCACATTGATCGATGCACAAAATTTCACAACGTTGTCTCCGCCGGTTTCCCGGAGGCAGTCAACTAGACAACGGAATTGACTTTTGAAACGCCATGTATGTTCTGAGTGCCCTAAAAATTTTCACACACTTCGAATAACTGTATAACTGAAGGAAATAATATCACATGTAAGAATTACTTATTTCTTAATACGTAATACAATATTTTATCTATTCATGCACTTTTGGTTCTCCAAAGATGATTAATTGGCATCCACCAGCATTTAATCATTCTTGATACCTGTCAGGGACTGCGTGGCATACTACAGCACAATTGTCAACTGTAATTAGCTGGAAGGCGTTTGTGAACTGTTTCTACAGTTCTGAGATGATTGTCGGCTTAGTGTATACTGCTGTCTTCAACACTCCCAAGGGTAAAAATCAATGGGTGTGAGTTCTGGAGAACGGGAAATAAATTCTGCCGACCGACGCCGTCCAATCCAACGTCCTTGTGAAGACTCATCCGGGTTCTGACAGACACGTAGCTGTTAGTGTGATGGGGCCTTGTTTCGTTGAAGAGGAAATTCAACTAAAACTCCGATCACAAATGCTTTCTAGTTAATTATAGGTGACAATTGTGCTGCAATATGCCAAGCAGTCCCTCACAAATTTCGAGAATGCTTAAAGGTTAATGAATGCCAATTTGACCATCTCCAGTTAACCAAAGGTGTCTCAAGAGATAAAAGATTATATTAAGTATTAATAAATAAGTAATGCTAACACGTGGTTTTATTTCCTTCAGTTATACAGTTTTTTAACACATGGGTACATTTTTTGGATCCCTCTGTGTTTACGGAAGGGTTTATTGTACTGTATCTCTCAACCTACATCCGCAATGTAGCGGTTTTTGCATCCACATCTCCTCCAGAGTATGGTTGGTATTGAGCAAGTAAGTTTTGAAAATCTCATATCCTGCATATTTTATCGTAGGTAGGTAATGTTAGGTCTATTTTTTTTCCTTTCTTAAATGTTGCTATTACATGAAGTATTAAATTCAGCATTTACAACCATGCAAGTTTCAACATGACCATTTTGGTTGCAGTTGAACATTCTCTTAATATTGCAACCTTATGACATACAATACGGTTTTCTTCGATGCAAGCCTCACCCGGTTTCCTGCGAATAAAATACTTGTGTACGCATTATAATACGAGACAAAGGACGATTGGGGAAGCATACCAGTTTCTGGATTTCAACGTAAGCGGCAGCGGTCATGGCAACACAACCTTGGCCCCGACCGTCAATGCACTTGTATTTCCCGTGATAATGGCCATTAAGATCGGAAGTGATGAGGGTGGGATATTCCCCTAGCACAACGGCGGAAGCTTTAGGCTTCAAGTTAAGTGTCACACGCTTCACACTCAGTTTTCTGGGCGATTCGTGGGAGAGGATATGATGAAAGAGGTTGGTGTAGTTCATGTCTTGGTATCCATCTTGATGCATAATCCTTATGCTTGCTGTAATAGACAGGGAAAGAAAATGAGAAATATTTTACAATGAGGCACTGAAATATTAAGTATTTTTGGTATTAGCATTTAGGTGTGGTCTTAGTACCCTTCGTCACTAGATTATATAACAGTTTTACATCAAGAAACAAATTTTAGTCAAACCAACTTCACCTTGGCGTCAGCAGCGTCTAAGTTTTGTATCTAGTCCATGTAATATGTATACCCATTCAAAAAAGAAACGCATAACCGCACTCATAATTAATTTTAATGCATGAAATTTATTATAAGCACAATGTATCTCTTGTCATCGCGGTACTAACAAGTTTCCCATCAAAATTCAGTCAGCTTATCGAAGCCCTGCCGATAGAAGGACGCGTCTTGCTCCTGAAGTCACTTTGTGACTTCCTCTTTGACGACGTCATCCGATGGAAATAGTCGTCCTCAGAGATGCTTCTTCAGCTTCCCAAACAAGTGAAAATCCGACGGCGCCGGGTCTGGACTGTATGGTGGGTGGTGAACAGTTTCCCATCGCCAGGTGCTGAGAAGGTCCATCGTGGAGCGAGCAGTGTGCGGGCGGGTATTATCGTGCAATAGAAACACTCCCTGTGACAGCAGTCCAGACCGGTTCTGTCGAACCGCTTCTTTCAGTCGTGTCAAAGTCAACTGATACGCTGCGGCATTCACAGTCTCACCACGTGGGGTGAAATCGATGAGAACGATCCCGTGAACGTCCCAAAAGATGGTTGCCATCACCTTTCCAGCACTCGGCGTTGTCTTGAACTTCTTTCTGACAGGGGAACCGGGATGCTTCCATGTCATTGATTACTTCTTTGTTTCTGGAGTATAGTGGTGCACCCATGTCTCATCGCCGGTGATAACGCGACACAAAATGTCGTCACCTTCTTCCGCGTATCGCTGAAGGTTTTCGAGCGACGCTGTCATGCGTTCTTGCTTGTGGCCGTCGGACCCGGCCAGCTTCGGTACCCATCTGCTGCAAGACTTTCCGATAACCAAGAAGGTCGTGCACAATGTGCCAGACACGGCCGTGTGAAAGTTTGAAAGACTGCTCCAAGTTCTGAAGAGACAAACGTCTGTCTGCTGGAACTGCTGCATCGATCTGATCGACAACATCGGATGATGTCGATGGGCGTCCACTTCTGTCCTCATTCATTACAGTCACACGACCATTTCCTCACATGTTGCACCGACAGGACATCCACACAGCCACAAGCTGTGGGTGGATTTCCACCGGTTGGGTCTACTGTGCTCACAGAAACCGAATTACTGCCTGTATATCTGGCTTCATGTACACGTGCAGTACCTTTGCATGTTCGCTCCGACTCTGCGCCTACCAGCACAGGTTTGTAACAGTGGTGGCTGCTGCCACTCAGTGACGCTATTTGGTACTAACATGCGGGGGTGTCACAGCACCAGATGTTGGTTAGTTTGGCGGGGAAGAAAATGAGAACCTTACTTTCTGACTTACCCTATACTGGTGTGTCTGTTATAATGCTGGTATGGATGTCCCAGAAAAGTGGTACGAACATCAACCGCAGTCAGTAATGGAGAATTCTTCCACAAAAATACTCTGGGACATACCAATAACAGAGCACACCATCGCCCGTAACAGGTCCGACCTCACGTTCTACGAAAAGTAGAACACTGCCCTAATCGTCGACGTGAGCATTCCAGCTGACATTAAGTTTAGGTACCACGATTATAGTCATACCTCATGAAGGAATTGAGTGCTAACCTTGTGTTTAGTCGGGATAAACAGGGATTCATGAAGTGCGAAGTGCAGGTGTCGGTCACTGAAGGCGGTCAAAGCGTTCCAGAAACTGGAATATTGGCCCTACTGCCACACACAAATATTCTTATCTCGTCAAGCCATTGAGTGCCAATCTCGAATTTAGTATCGTCAGAGATGACATTCCATGCAGTTTCAAATGAAATATTGGAACAAGGAATTCACGACTTGGCATATTCCCCACGGAAATTGTTCAAACTTAGCAATGGGAACTTTTTGTTTCAACTTAGAAGAATAGTGCCTAGAATCAATTTAAAGACCTCACAATTAAAATACACCAGAATGAATCTCATATCTTAATTAATGGAGATATTGCTGAACCAGATTCACATTTCCTGTACGTGTGGGCTCTGGGAGCGAAAAGTAGGTCACATTAAAATGCTTACATCTGGAGATCGGTGGGAGCGATAAAAAATTAGTTGAAAATGTTTTCTTTGAATCGATTCCTCAACATTGTATGCTAACTTTTGTCAAGATGGTCGAGCTCACGCTCTGGTCGATTTGGCTTGCAGTAACCCAAGGGTTACTGCGGGAGTATGCGTGGATATCGACACATTCCAGCACTCGTATTTACCAAACATTCAAGAAGTCTGCCTTAGTTTTTTACACACAGACGTCTGGTGACGTATTGTGATGAGAGTGTTGTAAGAAAAAAGCCAGTGATGCGATTTTTCTTGCAGTCTTTTTTTCTACCACGAATTCTAGTTAATTTCTGAAGGAACGATTCCACGGCAAAAAAAAATGAAAAATTTTAAATTTTCAAAAGGAACGGACAATCTAACAGTGAATGTCGCCACAAAGAGTACATACATCCTAAAGAACAAAAAATTAAGTGTTGTGATCATTTTAACTGCGATGTCATGAAACATCGCCATCTGTAATTTAAGGCATCCAAACATGGCCACTTCTTTACTCTTCACAGTATACACTGTGATGATTTCTTGAAGATGTTACATAGGCAAGAGCTAAAAATCTGGGAGTGTGTGACATATGATGCGCTCTCTCAAAGGAGCCATCTCATCCTCAGTAACCGATGGAAACGAATCTTCTATGAAGTCTTGAAGATGGATGCATTTTCATGTTTAACATGAGTCACGAAACTTGCCATTTTGATTGTCACAACTCTGACTTTGCTTTCACGAGCAAATGCTGTTGGTTCCTCCTAGCTATACATTAGTCCAATCAAACAAAATAAGACTTGGACCATGAAAGGCATCGATGCAATATCCATTGGTTGTGCCACTTTTGTCATGTGAATCACGCGTGGCACAAGCCACGCAGTGATCGTTTTCTTTCTCTATATTGATTTGTTGTATACGTGAATAAAATAATGCAATAACGTGCTGCTAAATGACAGAAATGAAGGAGAGAAAAGCAGAAGCAAGAAGGGGAATACAAAGAAAGTATCATGTAATGGAACTGCAGTGTTGACCAATAAAAAAAAGGTCAGCTACTCGAAACTTTCTGATAAAACCCTATATTTTAGAATGGATTAACTTCAAAGTTTAAAAGAACATTGTCCAGCATGTTCTTCAATATGTGTTCAAATTTCATGTGGCTGCAATTTTGCATTCTTCAATTATGACAGATTTTCTTGAAATTAAGAAAATGCTGAGTGAGGGTTGCTGCTGCCATTGCGAGGCAGGAATTTACATTAAAATCCTACTTAAAAATTCAGTTTAATGGGGGATCCAAGTGAAAATTTTACAGGATGTCACCGGAAGTGTGTTTTTCACTATCTGAAAATTTATTGCTTATGCATTCATTTCATGAATTCCAATGCAAATGTTGATTCATGCTTCGCAGCGGCACTGGCATGCCTGTTTACTCAAAATTTTGACAATTTCAACAAAACCTGCCATAACTGAAGAATAGGAAGTCCCAGACACATGCCATTTTAAAAACCCTTAAAGAATATATTTGGTAACGTTCCATTAAATAGGGATATCAATCCGTTCAAATATATGGATTTTATTGCAAAATTTCGCGCGGCTTACTTTTGTTTTATTACCAACCCTGTACGTACAAGGTACTACAACCACAATACTGATTTTTGAACGTCTGGGGCAAAGTTCGGACTGCTTCGATGACTGGTCTCGTGCTCATCTTACATTAATCATCCTTTCCTTCTTGCTTCAGCTTTTCCTCCTTCGTTTCTGCCTTTCAGCAGCGCTCTGTTAGGTTTTTATTTTACTAACACGCATAATCAATATAGAGAAAGAAATTCAACACTGTGTGACTCACGTTACGATAGTTGCATAGCCAAAGGATATTGACTCGATGCAGTCCTATAATGCTGGATTTGAACCATGTATAGTTAAGAGGAACCCAGCAGCATTTGCCCATGAAAGCAAAGACACAGTAGTTATAATTATAATGGCAATTTTTGTCGCTCAATTTATACGTGAACACCCATTCATTTTCAAAACGTCGCAAAAGACTTGTTTTGCATTGGTATTTGAGGATGAGACAACTTTTTTGCCATGACGCAACATATGTCACCGAACGCCAGATTTTCAGCTCTTGCCAAATAACATCTTCAAAAAAGGACCAGAAGCAGTGTATATTCAGAAGAGTCAAGATATTGTCACGGTAAGAGAGTATAAATAATGCGACCCCGCGTAGGATGATTGACCCCTGACCTCCAATTATAGTCCCCGCCACTAGGTGTCACTAGTGAGCTCCGGTGTTCTCTATTCAGAGTATATAGCGGATTAAAATATATGCGCTGGTCCCGATGTAATAGTTACACAGAGTATTTTTAGAGCTACATGCTGAGTAGTAAGGAAGAACAGCATGCCTTTCAACCCTACATGCTGAGGAGTCACCAGCAGGAGCGAACGGCCGCATCACGGTCGTTCGCAAGCCGGCCCCAGGAAGGACTCTCGGGAGAGGGAGACGGAAAAGCGAACCCTCAGCGAGGCAGCAAAAGCAGGCTCCACCTAAGCCCTGAATAGCTCCCTCCCGCTGGGATCCCGTACTTGAAGAACAGGCTCTACCTAAGCCCTGCGGAGTAAGATACCTCGCATCGAATCAGGCTTGATCTCAGCCCTGAACGGTGCCGACCCGTTGCGATCCTAAAAGCAGGCTCGACCTAAGCCCTGCCGACAACGGGTCAAAACAACCTGCAACAACCCGGCTAAACCGCAGCCCGGGTCTCCTACGCAGAACACAGCCCCCACCCCTCCTCTCTACCGCAGTGCGTGTGGAGACGTTAGGGGCATCCACGACGTTGGAGTGGGACCCTCCGAGCGGGAGACTCAGAGCGACGCCGGACACCAGGACCTCGCAGCGCTTCCGGGATCAAGAAGAAGAGTTGATGTTGATACTGGACGAATAGAGACAAAATAATAAACTATCTGTTTGTCGTCGCCGTATCCCCTTGTGACCTTATTTCCATCCGGACCCCACAACGGACTACGACACGAGAAGTCGTGCCGTAACATTTGGTGGCAGCGGTGGGATCGGCCCACACCTCCGAGAGACTGGGTGATGTTGACCGGCCGAGGTAGCATACCGGCGGTCCGACCGGCCGAGGGAGAATTCCGGCAACGGCGAAGTCTGGAGGACCAGACTAGTTACAAGAGGGAGTAATGTGACGGATGAGGATGGCATCGATGAAGCACGACTAAATGTCCTGGGTTCGGTGGTGTAGTGGTAGCACACCTGACCGGCAATCAGGAGGCTCGGGTTCAATTCCCGGCCGTTCCTTGGCTTCTTTCGTCCTCTCATGCCTTCCGTTGTCCGTCTCCCCATTACCCCTCCGTAACAATATTTTACTTGAATGCTTCCCATCCAGTCATCCGAGGATCAGCCAGTCGATGGACCCGAGTGCTATCAAACAATCAAATTTCTATTTAGGAAGAAGTTGGCGCAGATGACCCTTCCTGCTACCGATGAGAACCTGATGAGCCCGTCGTCCACTGTGTCACCGACGTGAGTTCCAAAGTTTCACTACTCGACGCCGTGCGCCTTGAGGCCAAGAATCGGAAAACTGTCAAGGCAGAGGCAATCGAAATCCACTTCTGGAGAGCTGGCTTATATGCCGGATGAAGGGTGCCGGCACCAACCCGTGAGAATGGTCTGATCGTTCCTGAGGTCACTGATGAGGAAGCCTACCTCATCCCCAACAAAATCCCGCCATGCATCGCCAAAAACGACGACTTTGAGGATAATATCGTGCAGGTCTTCCTTGTCAAGAGGCCTCGCTGATAGAACGACGCGGACCAAGAGCCTCAGTCGATAACTAACTTAGTTTGATGCTTCTTTACTAAAATGTTCAATTATCGGACAATATAATTGGGGCAAAAGAACTGAAACTGATGAGTCCGATTGAAGCAAAATCCACCGTGTTAGCAAAATTCGCATACATTTCTGATGAAGGTGCCTGAAATTCCTTTTAAAATAGGTTAAAATGCGTGGACGTTTCACTGAGCCGGTTTCTCCGAATTTTCCTTTTAAATTCCTTTTCCATGCCAATCGAGGATTGAAGAGTGCAAAGTAGTAGTACTCATGGAATAAACTTCTCTAGCATCATTCATGTTTATATACACATAGGTTACAGGAGAGCGTGATTAATGATTTAAAAGCTTCATTCCGTGAGAGTGATGCTCATCTTGTTTCACTTTTTTCACGGTCAACTAATTCCTCCATGAAATTCCTGTAAATGCATAGCCTATTTAGAGGCACGGAACCAATTCGTCGTATCATATGCAACACGAATGACGGTGTTGTATGTTCTCTAGGGGCGTAATTGACCGAGAATTGCACAGTGTGGACTTTGAAAAGAAGCAGGGCAAGCAATGAGTCGGTTGAGAAATGTATACAAGTTGTTCTCCCTGAGAATATAAATATTTATATTCCCATATCGTTTGACATGTTGGAATGAAACTGGAAGCGGAGCGAAAGCACTGCTTTGAAGTTGCCAAGCAAAAGATGCATTTTTCAGATATAGTCCCACAATGCTTGGAATAAGACCTATTCCTAGGAATAGACACTGCGAGAATTCATTCAATATATTTAATTATTCCTAGGGTATTGAGGATTTTCGTCATTTTAAGTCCAGTATGGTAGGATATCTACCAATTACTTCACGTGCTCAGTTGGTTCAAATTGCTCACAATAATGAACAGGAAAGAATGTCGCGATAGTTTATAGGAAATACTTCAAAAACAAATTTGTTCTCGCTCGCTTTCTGACGTTGACGCAGGGATCGTACATGAAAATGCCGCAAGGATTTCAAGAAAGCAGGATTATACGGAATATAGCACTAGCACTGAGATGAAGGTAGCACTTCCGGAACGAGACGTAAGATACATCCAAAAGTGTTTGTAATGCCATAGATTGATTGGAATCGTAACAGCAAATGCACGGTCTATATCCAAATCTACAATTTTCCTCATTGATATTACAAAGTAAACTTTAAGGCAAACTGTAGGAATATCAAGTAAACCAAATAATTCCAGGATACCTAATACGTAACGTATATATTGCTCAAAACAAATACAGTCGATCTCATGAATAGGGTGATTTATTAAATAAATATATGGGAGGGTCTTTGGAAGAGTTCTAATACCGGTCTTCGCACGAGAAAACGTTGAACAGAAACTGGGTTTCATTACAATCTTCCCACGAATAATCTCCTCGGCTTCCGAGAAACTTCCCTGCCCGTTCGTAAAGAGCTTGAACATTGGCGGCAACCCCATCCTTGACAAGCAACTTCAACTAGTCCAAACACCGGCCTTCCAGAAGGAACTTGATTCTAGGCAGAAGCATGAACCCATAATATGTCCGGTGAATGGGGAGGGTGTTGGGGTGAGATGTAATGTCACTCTACGATTGCTTAAAAATTCATGTTACTGCCATGGTATTGATTGCCGGTCGTCACTGCGTACAAGCTCGGAAATTGGCTGGGCTGCTTCGTTATTACGGCTTGTCGATGTCCTAATTTTCGCATGTGTGCGAGTGGCAAGGTTGATTTTACGACGGGGAGGAGTCCCTTGGGGATTAAGAAGCAAGTGGAAGGCCATCGTTAAGCCTCAACGAGGAGATTGCGCAGGACCTTTCTTGAGCTTCTCTTTAGCGGCCGCCAGTATTCAATGTAAATATTGTAAAATGGCAGAAAAATCTATTTTCTTACTAGTCGCGGCGTGAAATTTCTCTTACATCCTTCCTGTTCACTGGACCTAGCGACTTGTAACTTCATGCTATTTTGCTGAATAAAGTTCCTTGTGAGAGGCAGCAGCTTCAGCGACGCAAACAATCTGCAGTCAGCTTTGGCCAATCAGTTAAAATTGGTTGCCTTCGGAGGGGGGATAGAGTTATAACCTCTTTACAAACGTATGAAAAAGTACATTGCGAGGCAAGGGAGTTATTTCGAAGAGAATTATACTGAAACCTAACATCCATGCATCGTTTTCTCGTTCCAAAGCGTGTCCCTGGAGCATTTTGTCCGGCCTACTTGTGCTGCCTTAATATTCCCGCCGTAATTATGAAACTAAAAAAAAAGGAATGATTTCATGAAACAAATATATTCAAATATTCTCATGCTAAGTTTGACAGTTTTGAAGATGACAACTGCACAAGTATGCACACCCTAAACTTCTGAATAATTTCCTTTCCATAATTAACGGAAACAGAATGCCTTTTAACTCAGTTGAGAGATATATGCCACATCATTTTGATGGAAGTATTTACACGTGGTTCATATACTTCTCACGTGTAGTATTTTAGTATCGGATGAATACACGAGGGATAGTATGTGTGTTATTTTTAAGGAAACATCAGTTGTAATTGTTACTACTGCCTGTAGATTCCAGTTCCTTTTTATTTTATTGTATTTAATTTTAGTTGTGGTTCCATTCAGATGAGTCGGGTAGATCCCCTTTTGTCAGGTGAAAGTAGGAAGTTGAAAGACAAACTTTTCTTCTGGGCCGTACCGTTAATTCTCGAAGAGAGAATTCGATACATCTGCCGCGCAAATATAAGTGTCCCTTGTAAACACGCGGAATATGCCTGCATTGCACATACCATGTCCGGAAATCATGTTGGATATGTAATGCGGCTTACCGGCGCTCCCGTTCACTCCAGTGTTTACTTGGTTCGTGCTGGGCCAAGCTAT